TAATGTAACTCCATTTGGGACTGAAGAGGTTAATGTAACTTCATTTGGAAATGAAAAGGCTAATGTCAACTCCCTACTCCCCTTCTGGGCAAGGTTGCCCAGGTGGACCGGCACCCTACTCCTTTGAGCCACAGGCACCACCCTATCCATAATTTTTTTTTAATGAATTATATTTGTGAATTGTACTTATGTTGAAATTAAAAATATATATATTATAATACTACTTTTGCGTTCTATGAAAATTTTTGTTGCACCCCCCTACCCCCATCCCCGTCAATGGTGTCCCGCTTTACCAATGTTAAAATCTGGTCACCTTACTCTAAGGGCCACATCAGCCAGGTGCTCTGTCCAACTTCAGTCCCCCCACCACCATTCATCCCAAGCTAGCCCCACTGATGTCTTTCCTGTGTCCTGAGTATGACAGGCATGCCTGGCCTCAGGCATTTGCATTTGCCCTCCCCTCTGCCAAGAAATGCGTTTCCCTCAGAACACTGCATGGTCCCTCCTCCATTTCCTTCAGGTTTAAATGTCACCTTCTCAGTGAGGGCTTCTCTGTCTACTTTAATAAAAATCGCCTCCACCTTTGTACAGAAGGTGTGATAAACTGCGAGTTCCCCTGCTCTCTTCAACCCCTTCTCTTTATTCTGGTCACCTGGCTGCCCAGCAAAGACTACATTTCCCAGAGTTCTTTGCAGCCAAGTATGGCCGAGGGACAAGGTTCTTGCTGGGCATGTAGGAGAACTCCTTTGTGTAACTTCTCCCTTAATTGCCTGGGAAAAAATTGTTGCCTTAGACTTCCTTTGTTTGTTTGTTTGTTTGTTTTTAATCGCTTTCAGACTGGACTCCAGACCTACCAGTGTTCTAACTTCAACTACATAAATAAAGACCATACACCTCAAGGATGGCAGACTAGTGAGACAGAAGGAACCTGGATCCTGAAGGACTCTGTGGATCAAAGATGGACCACCGCCTGGAGCAGTAAGAAATTTATGTATGCAAGAAATACACTTCTATTTAAGTTACTGCGTATTTGGAATACTCTGTTACAACAACTTGGCCTACACTCTAACCTGCATGCTTCCTCTACCCCTTCCCTACTTTGTTATTTTGCCTAGAACTGAACATCGGCTAAGATGTAAAAGGTCTTCCTGCTTTTATTTATTGTGTGTCTTCCTTAACTAGAACGTAAGTTTCTGGAGGGCAGTGATTTTTGTCTTTGTTCACTGTTGCATCCTAGCACTTAGAATAGTATCCAGGTCATAGTAGATATTTAGTGAATAAATAGAGAATGAACCAGTACAAGCCACCAAAAGTGAAATCATAATCTATATCATGAGAAAACAGCTTCTGTAAGTTTTGAAAATAATACTGGGGCTAAGGGGATGGCAGGTAGATGATGGGACATGGAGAACTTCATGCGTGGAGGGTAGAGAGAAGGCGTGGAGTTAGAGGAAAGGTGAGGTCTCTAATCTCCCCAGAAAAGCCCCTAGTGCCCTCCTGTATTTGGGAGGAGAACTCTGTGGCTTTGCCTTAGCACCCTTCCCCACTAGTATTGGTTTGGGGATTGAGAGAGGAGGAGGGATACAGGAAGCCCCCTGTCCCCTACTTAGTAGGAAGTCATGCTCTCTTCTGCATTCCCTTTCTCCTTGAGAAAAACTTATATCAAAATATATTCACGATGACTTATTTCATAGACTTTCTAAGGTGGAGGGTGTTCATAGAAATAGCTGTGGAATAGTGGAAAAACTATTAGGATGAAGTTGAATTGCCTTAAATTCAAGTCTGAGGCCATTATTGGCTGGGTGGTCCTGAATAAAGGGATTCTTTCCTTTATCCTCGTCTGCAAGATGAGTGTAACCCTATCTCTTTATTTCTGTTGTGAAATGTTATGGGCTGAGTTGTGTCCCCTCTCCCAATTTCATACGCTGAAACCCTAACCCTCAGTACCTGAGAATGTGACCATATTTAGAGACAGGGCCATGAAGGGCCAAGGAAGTTAAGATTAGGATGTTAGGGTGGTCCCTAATTCAATAGGACTGGTATTTTTATAAAAAGAGATTAGAACACAGACACGCAGATGAGAGACCATGAGATCATACAGGAAGATGTCCCTCCACAAGAAAAGAGAGAGGCCTCAGAAGGAGCCAACCCTGCTGACACTTTTTTTTCTTTTTTTTGCAGTTTTTGGCCGGGGCTGGTTTTGAACCCACCACCTCCGGCATATGGGGAGGCACTGCTCCTACTCCTTTGAGCCACAGGCACTGCCCCACCCCTTTTAAAGACAGAGTCTTACTCTGTCACTCTGGGTAGAGTGCCATGACATCATAGTTCACAGTAACCTCACACTCTGGATGCAAGTGATTCTCCTGCCTCAGCCTCCCGAGTAGTTGAGACTATAGGCGCCTTCCACAATACCCGGCTAGTTTTACTATTTTCGGTAGAGACAGGCTCTCACTATTGCTCAGGCTGGTCTCTGAGCTCAGGCAATCCACCTGCTTTAGCGCTAGGATGACAGGCATAAGCCGCCACACCTGGCAGACACCTTTTTCTTGACTATAGTCTCCAGAACTGTGAGAAAATAAATCTCTGTTGTTTAAACTACCTAGTCTGTGGTATTTTGTTAAGGGAGCCCTACAAAAATCATGCATGGGATGATGTAGACAACTAACACAATGGTATGTAGCAGCTGCCCCCCAAATGCTTGTCTTCCTCCGTTCCAGTAATAGAAGTAAATCATTTAAAATACAGGTAGGGCCAGTACTGTCTGTCCTGCACAGAAGGACAAAGGGAGAGTCCCTTTGTGGAAATAAACTTCAATTGTTGGGGACGGGTGAGCATTGAGAAACAAAATCTTAAAGTTAATCTGTGCAAGGTGGCCATTTCAATTTTACAAATCAAAAAAAATTGAGTCATTTCCAGAGAAAGGCCACAGGCTGGTGAGGCATCTGAAAAAGGTCCCCCTGAAGGAAGTGGCTATGTTTAACCCAGAAAAGAGAAGACTCAGGGGAACACGAAGCCATCTACAAATGGACAGAATGCTCTTTTAAGAGAGAGAAATTTGATTTAGTTGTGTGGGCCCAGAGCAGAGAGCCAGAATCAGTGGGTAAAAGTTTCCAAGAGGTAGATTTTCATTTCAATATAAAGAAGGTTTTTCTAAGATAGCTGTTGGAAAATACAGCTGGTTTCCCCAAGAAGTATTCAGTGAGGCTGGATGCTGCTTATCAGAAACGTCCGAGAAGGGAACCAAACACAGATTTCACATTTGGACCAGATAAACGCGGATGTTCCTTTGAGTCCATTCCTGTATAAATGGATTGTTCTCCAGCTGAAGACCAGATTTCAGCGGCACTCAGGCATAAATCCTAGGACCGTGAAAACATGTGCATGGTCAACAAATATTTCTGATCTTTGTTGATTTGATGGTGATTAGAAAGGATTTAGAAAATTTACTGAGAAAAAATGGAATAAATATTCATACTATCGAGGACACACATAGAACCTAGGAAACAGAAGACGTCCAGCGAAGATTTTGGAGCCCCCCCCCCCAAGTACAAACTTTAGCAGGAACTTGAGCTAGTCAAAATCTTAAACTTATTCTGTGCAAGGCAGCCCTCTCAATTTTACAAATCAAAAAAATACTGAGCTTGATTTATCTACTAAAAGCTGATCTATCCTGAAAGAATTTGTTAAAATTATTCCCAGTAAGAGTCGACTATAAAAGCTGTAATTTCCTCACTACCATCAGTATTTGAGGTTTTGGAAAGTTGATAGAAGCAAGGGATGATTTGGTGGCTGTATCAGGAACGTGGTTTTTAGCCACAAACTACTACAGAATCATGGAGTGTTACTGACTGTCAAGTGTTGCCGGTGGGGTCCTCGGACCCAGGCCAGCTGAGGAAGGTGGCCTTGGGGAGGGGCCGCGGGCGGCTAGGACCGCGGAGGAGTGTGAGCTGCGCCCGCTGCGGGCTGAGCTCCGACGCTAGAAACCGCGCAGGGACAGCGCCCATCCAGCGACCCTGTCCACAGGGGCCGGGAGGGCAACCTCCGACCTCGACCCCCTTGGGTTCCGTCCCCCGCTCGAGATGGACCCAACCTTCCGCGTGGCACAGACCCCTTCCTTCCTCCCCCCCGCCCCCGCCTCCTCGTCCAGGGCAGAGCTTCCCAAGCCAAGAGGCTCGGAGACGCGGTCTCATCTCCAGGACAGGCCGAGTGTTCTAACCCAACGCCTGCGGCTGACAAAAGGGGAAATCCCAAGGGCGCGGGGGTGCGGGAGTTTGTCTCTCAGCCGCCTCAGGTCGCCCTTTGGGCTCCAGGGGGACTCGCAGAGCTTTGGTGGAGGTTTGGGAAGGGCGTAATGCGGAAAATTAAAGGGGCTTTAGAAACTGGCAAGAGGAGCAGCCGTGGTCAAGTTCACCCCGTAGGCGCTGGGGGTCCTGGGGTGGGACCTGCCCGCCTCGCACTCTCGCCCCTCGGTGTGGAGCCGTCGCACGGCAGGAGTCGGAGCCCCGGCGCTCTTCCGCGCCGCGCCGCGCCAAGCGCTGGGAGCACCAAAGGCCGCGTGGAGACCGCGTCGGGCACCGGGACTGGCGCAGGCCGGGGCAGGGAACCGCCGTCCAGCGCCCGGAAAGGGGCGACAGGGCGGCGCGCTCGCGAGAGAGCAGCTGGGTGCCTGGAGCCCCGACAGGTGCAGGCGCGCGGGCTTCCCATTGGTCGCGGCGGCGGCGGGCCCCTTCCCCCTCCTCCCTCTCCCCGCCCTCCCGGGTCCCCTTGCCCCTCCGCGGCGCCGACTCGGTTGTCGGAGGCGCGTCCCCGCGCGCGCGCTCTCGGCCGCCTGCCCCTCGCCCCGTCCCCGCCCCCTCCCTCTTTTCGCGCCGCCTCCGCGCGCTCGCCTGCGCAGGTAGCGGGCGCGCGGGCGCCTCCTCGGGGGCGCGCGGCCTGACTCCCGTCCTCCCCCCGCTCCCGCCGCTCTGGGGAGCCTGGGGAGCGAGCGCGCGGGCGGGGGGAGCTGGAGCCGGGCGCCGCCGCCGAGGCTTCCGTCTCGCTTGCTCGCGCAGCGGCGGCAGCAGAGGTCGCACACAGATGCGGGTTAGACTGGCGGGGGGAGGAGGAGGAGGGAAGGAAGCTGCATGCATGAGCCCCACAGGTAAGACCGACAGCCCTGGAAGGGCTCCCCATCCCGGGGAGGCGCGCACAGGCCGGGGAGGAGGAGTTGGTGCTTGGCGCTGCTCCCCAAGGGAGGAATTTTTTGACAGCGCAGAGAAATCTCATTGGGGACTGGAGCAATAGGATCCATCCCAATTCCGGGGAAAACCAGAGAAGTAGCTGGGGGAGACGGTGCCACATTATGAGATTCCTAAGAGTGAAATGTATAGGCCCAGGGAAAAGTGTTTTCTCAGCCCCCAGACGCAGGAAGGCTTTGGACTTTCCTGACATGGGCACCACCGCTGAATCCCAGGGACCGGCGCAGAGCCAGTGTGCGCTAACCCCGGCCCTCCACCCCTCCTCCATCCCTCCCGCACGCGCAGCATCCCACGGCGGCTGTTACTCAGTGTGCCCCGCGCGGGGGGAGGCGGGCGATCTCGCGGTGGGAAAGGGGGCAGGGGCCGCGCGGGGGAGCAACGGGATGGAGCCGAGGTGCCGCGTGCCAGGGCGGAGGAGGGGCAGTGTGGCCCCCGAGCCCGGGCAGCCCGGGGTATTGTCGTGTTCCGCTCCTGGTTGCAGACTCTTGCAAGCTGGATGCCCTCTGTGGATGAAAGATGTATCATGGAATGAACCCGAGCAATGGAGATGGATTTCTAGAGCAGCAGCAGCAGCAGCAGCAGCAGCAGCAGCAGCCTCAGTCCCCCCAGAGACTCTTGGCCGTGATCCTGTGGTTTCAGCTGGCGCTGTGCTTCGGCCCTGCACAGCTCACAGGCGGTGAGTGACCCCGCTGTGACTGGAGGACCCCGGGACAGAGCGGCTGGGAGGGGGATCTTGGCTGGCAGGACAGCCCTGCACCCTTCCCCCATGCGTCCAGACTTTAGGGGTTCTTGAGAGCCTGAGCTTCGCTGTGTCCCAGCCTAAGATCTTCCTGCTTCAATCCCCCTGGAGTTCCCAGAAGATTCCTCTGTGGAGCCCGCACAGACTCACACACCCACCTTCTGTCTGGAGCTTTCCACTAGGCGCCCTGGCTTCGCTGATGGAAAGACAATAAAGCCTGGCCCATTATTCTTACTTTGGGCAAGAAAATGAGAGAAGGAGAGAAAGTGGTGTATCTGTGGACCTCTGACCCTTGTCCATGCCCTCAGCAGGCAGAGGTCAGGTTTAGCTCTGGATTTAGGCAAGAGTTGTAAGAACCACCCTGGGGAATGGGAAGGATCTGAGACCCGGCCAGACTGGCTGAAGGACAGGTTTACTTAGAAGTTAACTTTCTCTTTCCTTGAGAGGTGGTGTGTGCAGGCATGTCTGTGCGTGTTGGGGGCAGGGAGGGGGGGCAGAGGTTCTCCTTCAGGTATGTTTCTGGAAGGTTTCTTTACTTACCAAGTCAATTGCTCTTCTGTGAAGTGGAAGTTAAAATTTATAGCCTCAGTCTCTGGAGGCGGCTAATCTATAACGTACTTGCTTCTGGGGGAGAGGGCTATCTTTTGGTTGTCGTGGAGGAAGACAGATGGAGTTCCTGTCTGAATTTCAGAGCTTAAGTTTTTCTGCCGTCCCTGCTCCTTGCTGTCCATCATTCCTGTCCCTTGCACATTTTCTTCAGAGCTTGCTCATGTTAGAAGGATCTGAAATATTGTTAATATGTAAATAAATTATAATTGGTTGAGAAACAAGTATTGATTGGTGTAAAGAAACCATTTTAGTGTTTTAAAATACCACAATTTCAGAAAATTTGAAGGTGAAAATGGAAAAAGAATGAGTGAAAGATTAGCAAAAGTAGGGGAGATGAATATCAAGTTGGGTTTTAACACAGAGTAACAGATAACTCAGGCATTCTACTTAGACCCCTGAAAGATGCTTAGAGGATGAAGCTGTTTGTTGTGATGTGCACATCTGTCAGAATTCCTGAGAAAACACTTGCTTTGGGCAGGGACTTGGTTAATTTTTTTTTTTTTTTTAACAAAGCATAACTTTTTGGGTCCTCTGATTTTTTATAGAAATGTCTCTGAGGCAGGCTTTCTCTTCCTAGAGGACGAGGTTGAATGTGAGGCCAGGCCAGCACCTGTGTGGCCTGCCAGGGCCCTGCCCCTCCCTGGACACTAGCTCTGCTTCCCAGACAAGTGGGCTAGAGTGGCAGGATGTAGTTGAGCAGATCTGGGTCATCTCCTCTCCTCCTCTTGCCTTCCCAGTCCTAGCTTTCCTTCCTTCCATCCTCTTAGTTCATTTCTCCCACATAGATGACAGATTAGTTAACTGAGGTTCATTTACATTTGTTTTGACCATTGTTATTGGACCATGAGGTGTGAGCACAGCTGGTAGTTGCAGGCTGTGTTTTGGTTCTCCCCATTCATGTTTACAGAGGATGCTTCCCAAGCATGTCAGAGCTTAGTGCACAGCATGGCCCACTGGCTCTCTTGTGCATCACCTGTGGGTTCCTACAGCCTGTCTTTGTTCTCTCCTTTTCTAGAGGGAACACACTAAGCAAAAATATCCACAGCCTTGGAGAAGAGGGTGGGAGAAAAGGTTGCTCGTTACCTCTCAGTTTTAGAGCTCTTTCTTTTTAGCTCCTAGCCATCAGCTTTGTTTCACCTTGAGCTCCTCAGGTTGAGCCTGTGATTTCTGGAAGAATATCATTTCACAATTTTCCTATGAATAAACAGTTTGGATACAGCGGGGTGGTGGGAGACATCCTGTGGAGTTACTATCTGGAGATTTTCTTTCGTAGGAAATACACTCACATGGAGGCTCCAAGATGGCAGTGAGAGCTCTAGACTGACCTGAGCTTCTGACACTTTAATGTGTGTATGAATCACCTGGGATCTTGTTAAAAGGCAGATTTTAAGTCCTTCGGTTTGTCTGGGGGGAGGCCTGATAGTCTGCATTTCTAATAAGCTCCCAGATGAAGCAGTTGCTGCTGATGCCAGGACCACACTTGATGAGCAGTGCTTTAGACCGAGGCATTTCTTCAAACAAGTTGCTCCTGACTCCAGACTTTCTGCCATCCCTCTCTATTACCAAATGCAAATAGCCCGTAAGGAGCAGAAGTCTCACCCAATGTCTAATCTTTAGGTGATATACGGAGCTGAAAATCATCAGCCCTTAAAGAGAGCTTTTTTCCCATCCTCTGGAAAGGTGCATATTTAGTAGACAATGTTCTGAAATGTGGATTTTCACATTTGGTTCCTTTCGATGGAAAAGGAACACCACGGAGTAAGATATCATAGTCTCAGCTTGAAGGAAAAACAAAACAAACAAATGTGCCCAATACAAGTAGTATAGAAAAAGCCTGAACTAGACAGGGAGACGTGGAGGAAATGATCAGACAAGAAGGGGAGGAAAAAGAACTCTGTCAGAAATAAAATGCTTTGTCCTGGAACGCCAGGGTTCAATTCGATTTTTTGAGCCCGAGGAGAGATTCCTTGTGCCTGACAGGGCCTGAGGTGATGTGTAGATGGCTCTCCCAGCTTGTCTTCTGTAAATTAAGAAAAAGGGCCTCATCTGGGGCCACTAAGACCAAATACTATAATACCAGGTTTGTAGGGAGATGTGGGACCCTGCTGTTCTCAGAATCTGGGGAGTATGGCTTTTTCACCCCAGTATAACTTAGCAGAGGCCCTGCTGGGTTGGGTGTTGCCCGGGAGTGGCCTGTCCAGGCTTAGAGGAAGAGCCAGAAGTGTGCTCTGTGTGTTGCTTCTTGGAGGTGAACTCCTTTGCACATCCCTGTGTTATAAGTAACTCAGGCTGATAGCTTTGAGGTCCTCAGTTTCCTTATCTATAAAATGAGGACCTAACTTCCAGGGTTGGTGTGGAGGGCGGAAATCATATGGACACTCAGTAAATGCAGGTAGTAGTAGGGAGGAGAGGATTAAGAAAATGCCCTCCCTCGAAGTGCATTAATGTACATAGTTACCATTCAATAAAAAAAAAAAAGAAAGAAAATGCCCTAATTTCAGGGGGGCTTTTCTTTATTCATTCAATGAATACTGAGTATCTATCCTTTACCCTGAGCCAGGCACTGTTGCATATAATGTTCTTTTATTAAGACGAACCCTCTGCTACTCTCCATTTTTTGCCCAATGAATAAATTTCCCTTGAAGACTTCACCTGTACACCATCCTCTTCTTTATATCTCCCTGGTCAGTAACTTCTTTCCTTAACTGGGCTCCCATTGCCCTAAGCCTCTATCATAGTGTTGTCTCCTGGAATGTAAGCCCAATTGAGGGAAAGAACCTTGACTTTATTCATTTTTGTGTCCTGGGCACCCAGCATAACATCTGTCTCACAGTAGAGTCTCAGTTAATGTCAGCTGAGATCAAGAAGAAAGATTCCCCAAATATTACTACACTAGTTAGAAAATGATTACCATGGGTGATTTATAAAAGTGCAGAAGTTTCATGGTATTTGAGGCCACATCCAATTAGAGGGAATCTGGAAGATTGGAGGAAAAATCAGGACAGGCTCTAGAATAGGTAGCACTTAGGATGGGATGGGGAGTGTGGTCCATCTTACAGGGAGAGACACCAGTGCAAAGGTGTGGACATGGTTACATGATTGGACTGTGTGGGGAGCAGAAAATAATCTAGAACATAGCACACCTGCAAGGAACCAGGAGGGTAAAAAGATAAGTAGGTTGCAACCTTATTTTAAAAGTCCTAGAAGCCCCAGTGAGGATCCCAAATGTCTAAAACTGAGAGGTAATGAGCCACCGAAGGCTTTAGAGCAGGAACAGAGGGAATATCACCTGAGCTGGGCTCATATTCCTCTCTCTGTTTCCAAGTCTCTGACATGGGACACACCTCCCTGCTGGCTGCCCTCTCTGCATATCTGAGTTATGGTCCTAGTGTGGCTGAATTAAACTCTGTGAGGTCTCATTTAGGTCATGAGGCCAGAGCATTGGGCTGCGTGCCAGCAAGTAGGAACAGATGCTTTCTGACTGACTTGCTGATTTGTAGACGTGAGCCTCTTGGTTTTACTGAGAAAATTTTTCTTACATGGTAGAGGGCAAGCTTTTCATGCAATGCTACATCTAAAATCCACGATTTCAAATTGCACCTCATCTGTTCACAAAGTTTCAACTCCTCAAACTCCAAATGTTTCTCCAACAATAGGTTAACTTCATGTAAGCAGCACAAAAACTCTTGGTTTATCCAGTGGGTAAAACCTGAAGGCTTTGGAGGCAGAAAGAAGGATTTCATATAACAAGTAACAAATCTCTCATTTCAGAGGTGTGAAGAGGTGAGTCAGAGAATCAGTAGTTCTTTAATTCCTGAGTGTAGCAAAAGAATTTAGGTAAAGATCTCTCTCCAGGAAACATTGATTAGAAATGTGAAGAAAAGTACCTAACAGGCATATTTCTAAGGCTTGCAAAAGGCCAAGGAGACTTGCCCTTAGATGGGAAGCTTGGTTAAGATATGGGCTATGTATTCTTTATAAGACAGACAGAGTTATAGTGCATCCTCTACTCTTAAATAGCTACGTGGCTTTGGGCAAATTCTGTAACGTCTTCACTCAGTTTCCTTCATATCAGTAACCTTCTCTGATTTTGTGATTATAGGAATTTGATGGGTTCTAAAATCTGGGTGAAGATTCTTTTCCATCCATCTCCCTCTTCCTTGTCTCTCTCCCTCTTTTTCATTTATTAGATGGGGTCTCACTCTGTTGCCCAGGCGTAGAGTGTGATGGCACAATCATAGCTCACTGCAGCTTAGACTCCTGGGCTCAGGTCATCCCCTGCCTCAGCCTCCAGAGTAGCTGGGATTGTAAGTAGAAGCCACTACGTC